TCAGTTGTTAAGCATCCGCCTTCAGCTCAGGTCATGATCCCAGGGTCCTGGGACGGAGCCCCGCGTCGGGCTCCCTGCTCCGTGGGAGGCCTGCTTCTCCCTCTCCCACTCCCCCTGCTTGTGTTCCCCCTCTCGCTGTGTCTCTCTCTGTCAAATAAATAAATAAAATCTTAAAAAAAAAAAAAAGAAGTGAAATTGCTGGGTCATAAGGTAGTCCTATTTTTAAATTTTTGAGGAACCACCATCCTGTTTTCCACAGTAGCTGCATCCTCTTGAGCCTCATTTTGGGACCCCTGGGGCTTTCTCTGCTCCGTGGACTCTCAGCACTTCTGTGAGGTATCAATGTCTCTGTTTGACAGAAGAGGGAGCTGATCCCAGCCTTGTCCAAAGTTGTCCAGCAATGTCGTCCAGAGCTAAGACCAGAGAGGAGGCTGCTGGGCTCCCTCCTGAGACTCAGTCCATGCCAGCCAGACACTCACCTCCTCACCCCACCCCTACACACATAGACCCCCAGCAGTGGGGTTGTGAAGAGTAGTCAGAGCAGGGCAACTCTGAGAGGGAGGGTCGAACCCTTGGGGGTCATGGCTCCCAGGGTCAGATCCTTCCCTCTGAACGTCGTCAGGGCTCAGAGGGCCTTCCTGACCTCTAGCTGGGGTCCCAAACCTGATGTCGCAAGGTCGGGTAATGGAGATGGACACGAAGTGGGCCCAGTGGCATTGCCAGGGTGCAGCAGGGTCTGTCAGGAGGGGGAGCTGCTTCTCAGCTATGCAGACATGCCCGGCACAGCCAGACCTACGTGTCCAAGGGGAACGAGGAGTCCAGTCTCTATGAGCAGTTGCCTGATTTTTTTTTAAATATTTTTTTTATTTATCTGGGAGGGAGAGAGAGTGCGGGCAGGGGCAGAGGGAGAGTATTTCAAACAGACTCCCCACTGAGCAAGGGAGCCTCACATGGGCCTTGATCCCACAACCCTGAGATCATGACCTGAGCTAAAAGCAAGAGTTGGATGTTTAACCGACTGAGCCACCCAGGCGCCCCGCAGTTGTCTGATTTCAATAAAATATGTCTGACTTGGGGTTTCCAGTGGGATATTTGACTTGGCTCACCCTTTCTTCATTTAACTGAAAGGGAGACTGAGGCCTAGAGAGGAGAGCCCAGGTCTCCTGCCTCCTGGGGCAGAAGCAGGTTTCTAAGGCCTTTGGGGGCATCAGGTGCCTGCCAGTGTCCATCTCAGGTACTTCAGCCTTCCTTGGCCGCTCATCCACTGGAGTCCTCAGAGTGGATGGTACCATCTCACTGAACCCAGCCTCTCCCTGGTGTCCTGTGTGGGCAGAGGTAGTCAGGGGTTGGGGTCTGCTGGTTCTAAACACAATCTACCTTACTATTATAATAACTGCAAGGATGAGAAACGGAGGCCAATAGGCCGTGATCCTTGAATGGTGGCAGCAGGCATTTGAACCCAGGTCTGTGGTGACTCGCGAGTCCTTGCTTTTAAGGCCGTGTTTTCTCTCTGCCCCAGGATCTCCATCCATGTGCAGGAGACGGACACCCCCGGGGAGCTGCTTGTGACACGAGGGGGCGGCCTCAGACCCACACCCCCTGTGGAGGCTCCGGCAGCTGCCCATCCAGGTGAGCAGGACCCACCTGGGCCCGTGCCCCAGACCCCTACAACCAAGTCAGAAAAACAGATCCCGAAAGGAGCCGGCAAGGTTTCCCCACTGCGGAAACGGAGCAGCCATGAGGAAGCAAAGGCAGAGGAGAAGCAAGGGCCTGGGGCCGAGTCGGCCACGGGACCAAGCGGGGCCAGGAGGGACAAAGGAGCTGATGCTGGAGGCCCAGGCTGGCGGCAGGACAAAGGCGAGGGTGCAGGAAACGCTGAGCCCGGGGAGAACCTCACAGCCGGGGGCGCGGGCAGAGATGGAGCAGGAAGGAGGACGCCCCCTGGAGAGGAGCCTGGCAGCGTGGTTCTGGGTAAGTGAACCCATTGCTGGTGCCCCAGGGTGAGCGGGGTTGGGGGCCTTCTCCCAGGGGGCTTTCCTGCAGCTTCAGGGAGAGAGAATGTGGGTCTGGGGGGAGTCCGCGACTTGGAACGGCCTGCCAGTGCCTGCTGGGGCTGGAGAGCAAGGCCTGCAGCTGCAGCAGGCTGAGTTTGGGGGTGACTGTGGCAGTAGGGGAGGAAGGAGCCCATGCGGCCCAGCTGGGTGGGTTTCTCAAGCCACCAGCCTGCCTGGGCTCTCCACCATGGGTGTCATTCTGGATCCAGCCAGAGAAGGCTTCTGCTAAAAAGAACATCTATTAAGTGGTGTTAATATTGGCTGCCGCACCCAGTGAGTGAGATCCCATCCCGGGGTACAGAAGGGTGTGGGGGGCTGCTGACCTGCTCTCTGCCCCAGTGGTGGTGGGGGGCATCCTTGTGTTCTTGTGACCCAAGCGCCCTCAACTCCGCCAGCCCTTAGGGTCACACCCTCCTTGGTCTGAGCCCTCATCCCATGTGGTGGCAGGAAGGCCACCTTTGTGGATTTCCTGCCCTGTAATTCCGGGAAGTCCCTGAGGAAGGGCTGTGTGTTCTGCAGTCACTCCGGGGCCCCTTGCCACTTCTGGGCTCTACAGTTGCCCTGTCTTAGTGACATCTCAGCTGCTTCCCCTCCACCTGTACAACTTGGTCCCCATGTGGCCAAAGGCCTCCTTTCATTCCTGAAACGCTGCTGAAACCAGGCGGAGACTCCGGAGGCCTTTCTGAGGCTCGCGGTGGTGAAAAAGGCCATGTGGACTGTGGACTGTCTGTGTGCCGAGCCGGGTGCCTCCGTGCCGGCGTTTACCCTCACGGGCTTGTGGAGTGGGGATGAATGGAAACACAGGAGAGGTCAAGGGCCATGCTCAGGGCCCCGGAGACAGTGCGGACGCAGCCAGGATCTGGCCCTGGCTGCCCGGCTTGGGAACGGCGCGTGCACGCCTGGTCGCTAAACAGCCACCCGGAGAAGCACACAGCAGAGGAAGCGTCAAGCCAGATGCTAGATTTGGAATCTCGGTGACACACACTCAGACCTTTCCGGGTCCCAGAAGAACAGCAGCAGCAGGAACCACACTCGTTAGCTCTGTGGTCCGGGGCTCAGGGCTTGCCTTTGCAGATACAAAAAGGAATGAGCAATATTCTCTCAAGGCAAACGTCTACTTGGGGGAGCAAAAAGCTGCTCTTATTAAGATGAACTAAGAGGAAATGGCCGTGTTTTCGCGGCACCGGGTATATGGTTTCAGAGGCATGAGTTGGTGGTGGAACTCTGAGTGAACCGTGACAAGCCCAGAAAAACCCAACCCAGCCTCTGACTTCCTGCCACGGAGTCTCCCAGCCCTTAATACGCAAACCAGCTTAAGTCATCGTGTTTGGTGTTCTGTTTTATTCCTTTATTTCATGCAACATTTCTAGGTTCACACAACTGCTGAAGGGCAAGATTTTTCCCGAAAACTTAGGCCATCTTTACCTTTCCAAGTGCTGGTGTGCTCTGTTTCCCCTCCAGGCCCACTGTCCACTGCCGGCGCTCCCCCAGAAGCCGACCCGCAGTGGGCTCCTCGCGGGCTGTTTGCTCTGTGAGGAGATCAGAGGGTGGAAGTGGAGGGGGGAGGGTGTTTGTTTTCCAGCCGCCTCCCTGTCCCACCGCCCTGGCTGGTATCTGCCCCCCTGCCTGTATCTTCAAACATAGTCCATCATTAAATTCTGCTTGATTACCCTGTTCAAGGGTGCCTTCCGTTTCCACCCCGGGTCCCCTCTCAACTTCAGTGAACAGACTGGGTAGAACTTCTCCATCTTGCAAAGCGTACACTGTAGGTGATAGGAGACTTGGGTTTGAATCCCACCCGTCACTGACTCACTGTGTGCCGTTGGGCCAGTCACCACACCTCTCTGAAATTCAGCTCACTCCTCTGCCATACGGGTGACCCCAATGAGGTGATCCCTGGGAAGGGCGAGGGTCTTGTCACTTGACCCAAGCGGGTGGCTGAGAGTGCGGGCTGCGCTTAGGAGGCTCACAGACTGTTGTCTCCCAAACAGATGACAGCCCAGCCCCACCAGCCCCCTTCGAACACCGGGTGGTGAGTGTCAAGGAGACCTCGACCTCAGCAGGTTACACAGTGTGCCAGCATGACGTCTTGGGAGGGTAGGTGGGCTTCTGCCTTGATGAGGGGCAAGAGCAGGAGGGGTGGGCCAGAGACAGCTGGAGACCCAAGCTGGCGTGCTGCTGGATGCTTCTCAGGAGGGGGTTGATCAGGAGCCAAGGCCCTGAGGTCAAGGTCACAGCATGCTAGTGACTGGATAGTCCACAGAGAGTGGGTGAGTGCAGGAGAGCCCACAAGGTGTGGGACGAAGTATAGGGTGCAGGAGGCCCACACAGTATGGGCATGGGAACCATACACTGGAGGTGGTAGGCAGGCCAGGTGGTGTGGAGTGAGGGAGGTGGTCCCTTGGGGTGCAGCACAGACCACTTGTGATAGGGTGAAGAAGGTCTTCTCCAGGTTTCAGGAGCAGCCATGTGGTGTGGGGGTGATGACTGCAGTACCTGCAGGGTGCAGGGTAACCCCCGTGGTGTTTATGAACGAAGTGCAGGCCCAGAAAGCCCAGGGTGCAGGATGGCCCACCATGTATGGGATGAGCCTCTTGGGCTCTCAGCCTGCCGTACCATCATGTCTCTGCAGAGGCCGGTTTGGCCAGGTCCACAGGTGCACGGAGAAGTCCACGGGCCTCTCGCTGGCAGCCAAGATCATCAAAGTGAAGAGTGCCAAGGACCGGGTGAGGCATCTGCCCTGGGCCAGCCAGTACCTTGGGCCACGTTCAAGGCTCCTATACTTCCTTCTTGGCCCCCAGGCCCCTGCATGCTGATCAGGAACCCTGCCACCTTCCCTGCCTCTTTTCCATGACTCCCACACTCTGCTCAGCATATCACCTCACACCCTGGGTGGCAGGGTCCCTCTGGACCTCCAGGTTTCCTTCTTGGGCCTCAGGTTTCCTATCTGTGGAATGGGGGGTTTGAACTAAGGTCCCTTTTGTTGTAAGAACCTGGTTTGGGTGGTGGTGAGTTGGAGACCTGATGTGAGAGGAGGAAAGGAGGTTGTGGGCATGCATGTGTCTTGGGAGGCGCAGCTGGCTCATCTTCCTGACCCATTTCTTGGAAACTCCTCTCCCGTCTGACTCTGCAAGGAGGATGTGAAGAACGAGGTCAACATCATGAACCAGCTCAGCCATGTGAACCTGATCCAGCTCTATGATGCCTTTGAGAGCAAGAACAGCTTTACCCTCGTCATGGAGTAGTGAGTGTCTTGGGAGGTGGAGCAGTGACTTCTCTGTGGGCCAGGACTCAGGACTGGGGCTTGGAGCTGTGGTTCTAGGCAAAACTCTCCCTTTCCCTTCCCCTCTCTGGGATATCTAGGGAATGTCATCACCTCCAATATGGAGCATGGAGGACAAAGCCATTTGTCATAAACCAGCAGTAAACCTGACTGACCTGTAGATATATGTCAGCTTGGCCTACACAATTTTTAATAATTTTGATTTAGGCGTTAACAATTGGAAATTGGGAGATTTCATATTGAAACCCAGCTATCTTGCTTTTCTTAAAAATGTGAGAGATCTAGCTGGACCTGCATTTCTAGCTGGAAGTGGTGTGCTGGAGCTCCCACTGGCTGACCCTTGTAGACAGGGCAACCAGTCTCCCATTTGCCATAGTCCCCACCATTCCCAGCTACCCCGAAGCTGAGGCCAGGGGCTCAGAGGCCGTTTATTTCTGTGCTTGTGTTGCTATTTTCCTTCTGGTAGGGTTTGTCATGTCATGTCTCTACCAAGAGTGAAAAAACAAAGATAGACTAAGGGCTATATTTTATGAAAACTTGTCTCACATCTGGTCTTTTTTGCCCATTTTGGGTTCTTGCCATGTAAGTATTAATTGGCCCCCGTAGGCAAATGAGTTTATAACTTTGATCCAGAGTATCCAGAGTCGAGCCTGGATTATCAACACTGAAGACAATCCCCAGTCTTCCTCTTGGCCCATCAATTCCTTTTTACCACCTGCACTCTGAGCTGGGAACAGGCCAGAACAAAGATCTCCATAAAACCCCAGATGTCAGTGGCACCCTCAGGCTTACCTGGGTCAGCCTCTTTTGACTCTTGGTGATAAGAGTGGACAAATCCTCTGAGAGCCTCGCTTAGGCCAGTGTTTGCCTCTCCCTTTGCCCTGGCAGTGTGGATGGGGGTGAACTCTTTGACCGGATCACAGAGGAGAAGTACCAGCTGACCGAACTGGCTGTGATCTTGTTCACCAAGCAGATCTGCCAGGCTGTGCATTACCTCCATCAACACTACATCTTGCACCTGGACCTCAAGGTCAGGCTCCACCTGGGCATGTGCTGGGGGGAGGGGGCCCAGGGTTCCTGAGCTGCTGCTGCTCTCTTACCTTAAAGAGCTCCATCAACAGACGGTCCTGGCTTCCGTTCCTGGCTCTCTGCCATCTCCTAGTTCTGGAGTAAATGAGTCGTGCTGGCTCTCTGAACCTCAGTTCTCTCATCTGTAAAATGTGGGTAGTTGGTTCAGTGTTATTTGAAGATTAAATGATACAATGACCTTCTTTTCCTTAAAAATATCTTTAGAGAGAGACAAACCAAGAAATAGACTCTTAATTTTGGAGAACAAACTGATGGTTGCCAGAGGGGAGGTGGGGTAGGAGGATGGGGTCAATAGGTGATGGGTATTTAGGAGTATATTTGTGATGAGCATTGGGTGTTGTATGTTTAAGTGTTGAATCACTAAATTGTGTACCTGAAACTAATATTACACTGTTTGCTAACTAGCTGGAATTTAAATAAAAACTTAAAACTTAAAAAAATTTTAAGATTAGTTTAAAAAATTAAAATAGAAACATAACAAATATAGACAATATAGAAATGTGTAAAATACACAGTGAAATTTCTTCCCATCCAGTCTCCATGCTAAGAGGTCCTCTCTATTAGCCGTTTGGCATGATACACAAACACACACAAAGGTGACCATGCTATACATCCTGTTTTTTTTTTTTTTCTTAAAGATTTTATTTTTTTTAAATTTATTCATGAGAGACAGAGAGAGAGACAGAGGCAGAGGGAGAAGCAGGCTCCCCGCGGAGCAGGGAGCCCGATGTGGGACTCGATCCCAGGACCCTGGGATCATGACCCGAGCCGAAGGCAGACGCTCAACCGACTGAGCCACCCAGGCGTCCCTATACATCCTGTTTTTAAACTTACTTTTTTAGTTAACAGTACATTGTAGACATCTTTTCTAATTCTCTTTAAGGGCCATGTGATATTCCATTGAATGAATGTGTTACACTCTCTTTTGTCTACTAGGATTGTCATAGGAGTGTCATGCACTGGGTGCAGTGCCAGGCTGGTAATAAGCACTTGACACGTGGTGGCTGTTTCTGTGGTTTCCCACGCTGCTGGGCCAAAAGGAGGGTGTTTCTCTACAATTCCTTTTAGGAATTTCAGTGGCTCCCCACAGAAGGTGGGAGGTAGGTTGGCAAGACCTTTGTGGGTGCACATTGCTTCTTCTGACCATCTTTTCTGATTGACATCAGACTCTAAGGTTGGAGTTCTGAGAAAAATGATGGAGATGGTGGGGAATTGGCCTCAGGCTTCCTAGATCACTAGAGCTAATTCCAGAGCTTCTGGATGAGCTGCTCTGTGAGGTTGGCAGTTAAGGGAAGCTCAGGCTTCTCCTCTGTGGTTCTGGGTCAAAAAGCTTTTGGGGCAACCCTGTGTCTCTGCAGCAGGAGATGATCATTGCTAAGGCCCATTTCCCAGCCAGAAACAGGGTTTGTGTTGGTTCAGTCCCTTCCTGGCCATGAGATCTTGTGTAAGTTCCTTGATCTTATTGGTTGATCTTGCATAAGCTCATCAATTGTAAAATGGGGAACAATAGTATCTACCTCTTAGGGGTGTTGTATGGATTAAAACATGAAGAAAGTGGGACGCCTGGGTGGCTCAGTTGGCTAAGTGTCTGCCTTCGGCTCAGGTCCTGGGATAGAGTCCTGCATCAGGCTCCTTCCTCAGCGAGGAGCCTGCTTCTCCCTCTGCCTGCTGCTCCCCCTGCTTGTGCTCTCTCTCACTCTTGCTCTCTCTCTCTGACAAATAAATAAATAAAATCTTTAAAAAAAATCCTTCAGATATTTATTTATTTTTTAAAAAGATTTATTTATTTGGCAGAGAGAGAGCACAAGTAGGCAGAGTGGTAGGCAGAGGGAGGGGGAGAAGCAGACTCCCCGCTGAGCAGGGAGCTCATGCAGGGCTTGGTCCCAGGGCCCTGGGATCATGACCTGAGCTGAAGGCAGATGCTTAACCACCTGAGCTACCCATGCGCCCCTAGATGTTAAAAAAAACAAAAAAAACACGAAACAAAGACACATGGAGAAAGAGCCCCAGGGCTGCTATCTAATACAATATCCACAAGCCCACATGTGTCTATTAAACACTTGAAATGTGGCTAGTGTGACTGAGGAACTGAATTTTAAATCTTATTGATGTTAATTTATTTAAATTTAAAAGCTGACACTCTATTTAGTTATTAGTATACTTTTAAGTATATTTGGAATGACTTCAATATGTGAATTTATTTCTCAACTATAAATTTCATGAAATCTTAGTACATCTAAAATATTTCTGATGAAAATTTAGTATCTGAATTGAGATGTGCTGTAAATATAAAATACACACTAGATTTCTAAGTCTTAATATGAAAAAAGAATGGAAAATATCTCATTAGTATTTTCCATATTGATAACCTCTTGAAATGATAAAATATTAGGCATACTGGGTTAAAGAAAATATATTATTGGAGTTAAGTTTTAGAAAATATTTTAAGATGAATGAAAATGAAAACACAACATACTAGAACTTATGGGATGCATCTAAAGCAGGAGGAAATTTGTAGCTGCAAACACCAATATTAAATAAGAAGAAATACCTTGAATCAATAATCTAAGATCCCACCTTAAGAAATGAAACAAAGAAGAGTAAGTTAAACTCAAAGCAGCAGAAGAAAGGAAATAATAAAGAGTAGAGCAGAAATAACTGAAACACAGAATAGATAAACAATAGAGAAAATCAATGACACCAAAAGTTGGGCCTTTGGAAAGATCAATAAATTGTCGAATCTGTAGCTATATTGGCCAAGACAAAAAGAGAAAATACTCAAATTACTAAAATCAGGATTGAAAGAAAGGACATCACTACTAGCCTTACAGAAAGAAAAAAGGATTATAAAGGAATAATATGAAAAATTGTATGCCAACAAGTTAGATAATTTAGATAAAATGAACAAATTCTCAGGAAGACACAACCACTGAAAACTGACTCAAGAAGGAATAGAAAATCTGAATCGACCTGTAATGAGAGATGGAATTAGTATCAAAAACTGCCCACAAAGAAGAGCCGAGGCCCATGTGGCTTCACTGGTGAATTCTACCAATTTAAAGAAGATTTAATTAAAAGAAGAATTAACACCAATTCTTCACAAACTCTTCCAAAAAATAAAAGATAAGGGGACACTTCCTAACTCATTTTATGAGGCCAGTCTCATCTTTTTTTTTTTAAGATTTTATTTTCAAGTAATCTCTACACTTAATGTGGGGCTTGAACTCGAAACCCTGAGATCAAGAGTCACACGCTGTACCTACTAAGCAAGCCAGGCGCCCTGAAGCCAGTCTCATCTTGATACCCAAACCAGACAAAAACATCACAAGAAAAGAAAACTATAGGCCAATATCCCTTATGAATATAGATACAAAAATCATCAATAAAATTTTAGCAAACTGAATACAACAACATATAAAAAGGATTATACACATGACAAAGTGGGATTTATCCTAAGAATGCAAGGTTGGCTTACCATAAGAAAATCATCAATCTAATATGCCGTATCAATAGAGTCATTTCAATAGATGCAGAAAAAGATTTGAAAATTTCATAATGCCTATGTCATTCACCTCACTTCTCATCGCATAGTTATTTTGTCATCTCATGTCGTCACAAGTAGAAGGGTGAGTATAGTAGAAAAAGATATTTTGAGAAAGAGAGAGAGAGACCACATTCACATAATTTTTATTATAGTATATTTTCATAATTGTTTTGTTATTAGTTGTTAATCTCTTACTGTGCCTAATTTATAGGTTATTTATAAGTTTATCATAGGTATGTATAAATAGGAAGAAGCATAGCATACATAAGGTTCGCTACTATCTGTTGTTTCAAGCATCCACTGGGGGTCTTGGAATGTATCCTCCATGAAGAAGGGGGGACTACTGAAATATCAAAAACAATAAAATACGTTGGAATAAATTTAACAGATGAAGTGCAAGACTTATGTTCTTAAAATCGCAGAAAATTATTAGAAGAATTTAAAGAAGACCTATAAATGGAAAAACATCCCATGGTCATGGATTGGAAGACTTAATTTTGTTAAGATGGCAATAATTGATCTACAGATTGAACACAATCTCTATCAAAATTGCAGCTGGCTTGGGCGCCTGGGTGGCTCAGTCGTTAAGCATCTGCCTTTGGCTCAGGTCGAGATCCCGGGGTCCCGGGATCGAGTCCCGCATCGGGCTCCCTGCTCGGCGGGAAACCTGCTTCTCCCTCTCCCACTCCCCCTGCTTGTGTTCCTGCTCTCGCTATCTCTCTCTCTGTCAAAAAAAAAAAAAAAATGTTTCTCTAAAAAAAAAAAAAAATTGCAGCTGGCTTCTTTGCAGAAATTAATGCACTGATCCTAAAATCCAGATGGAAATTTAAGAGATGCAGAATAGCAAAAACAAACCTCGAAAAAGAGCAAAGTTGAAGGATGCACATTTCCCATTTTCAAAATTTACAGCTAAGCTACAGAAATCAAAACAATGAGTTATGTGTATGAGGATGAATAGATAGCTCAATGGCATACAATTGAGAGTCCAAAATCAGACCCTTATAGTTGTGGTCAATTGATTTTTTGATAACTGTGCCATGACAAATCAACGAAGAAAGGATAATCTTTTCAATGGACACCATGCCTGATAACCACATGCAAAAGAATACACTCATACTATACACAAAAAATGGATTGTGACTTAGATTATAAAATTCTTAGAAGAAAACATAGGAGTAAATCTTTGTGACCTTGGATTATTAGGCAATGATTTCTTAGAAATGACTCAAAAGCAAAAGCTAGGAAAGAAAAATAGATAAATTAGATTTTATCAAAATTAAAAACCTTTATGCTTCAAAGTATATCATCATGAAAGTGAAATGACAGCCCACAAAATGGGAGAAATATTTCCAAACAATATATCTGATAAGAGACTTGTATCTATAATATGTAAATAAATCTTACAACTCAATAATTGAAAGACAAATTTTAGAATGGGCAAAGGATTTGAATAGACATTTATCCAATAAAGATATACAAATGGATGATAAGCACATGAAAAGATTCACAACATCATTAGTCATTAGAGAAGTACAAATCAAAACTACAGTGAAATATTGTTTCACACCCATTGGACTA